TATAATATGAATCAAAAATCTCATTTTTTGTAAAAAGTTTCCGTAACCCATTTTTAATAGATCAGCTCCCATATAATACTAATTTTATTAATCAAAATTTTAATTTATGATTACATTTTCATTATTAGAATACTTGTTACAATTTCTTTAATAATGAATATTTAATCATGATTTTTGTATTATATTTCTAGTCATGTGATTTGCTGTATCTTATTTTCACTTGAGTAACAATATATAATCATATAATATACAAAAAAATTATTAATAGTTATATATATTATTAATTTTTTTTAAAAGATCTCACTTTTAAATTATAAAGTATACATATAAATCTTTATACTCATAAATTTAAACATATATATTATTAATAACATTTTTGACAAAAATTATAAAAATAAGAGTAATTATTAAAATAAAAATAAATAATATATATGGAAGCTTTGCAATAGAAAAGGAGAAAACTTTAAAAAAAATTTTTTTTTAAGTTAATGTTAAATCTGAACTTATTTTACAAAAAAAAATCATAATTAGCTTAAAAAGTAAAATTTTAATTTTTTTAGAATTTCCGCAAAACTCGCATATTCTAAATTTTCAAAATATTAATATTTTATCATAAGTTTAATAATAACAAATATTTAGATAAAAAAACAAAAAAAATTTATTTTACAGAAATATGAAAAAAAAAATTATATTAAAAAATAACTTTTATAAATAATAAAAATAAATTTTAATAAAAATTATAATTTTTGTATTAAACTATTATTATTAGAAAAATTTAAAATAAAATATATAAATCAACTGATAATAAAACTGTTAATTAAGTTAATAATGATATAGTAAGATTAAAGTTATTTGTCTAAACTTCTTTAAAATTCTATAATTTATTTTAATGAAATTTAATAAGTATTTAATATAGTTTTATTATTATCACTTAAACTATAAAAAAGGTAAATTTGATTGCAAAGTGAAGAAAAGTGTTAATTTCTTTATAAAATATTAAATATTATTTTAGTAATATTATTATTATATAAAAAATATAGTTTAATATATTTTTTATAAACTTTATTAATAAAGATTTTAAGTTTTTAAAAGGTTTTTAAAATAATATAATTTTAAACTTAATTTATTATAACAATTTTTTTAAAAATTTATATGTTTGCATACTAATTAAATTACTTTATCATTAATAAAAGCCATAAAATTTTTTAATAAATTATAAAAATTATAATAATAAAAGTTTTCTTTATAAGTGATTTTATAATATTCTATTAAGATTAATATAGTGAAAATTAAATTCTAAAAGTTTATCATAGATTAATTATAAAATTTTTTTTAAAAATTATAAATTTTTAGTTTCTAATAACATTAAATTTTTTATTATATAATTAAAAGATAAAACTTATTATAATATATTACATAATTATATATTTAATTTAAAAAAAATTTCTTAAAAATATTAATTATTTATAAAAGTAAATCAGAAGAAAATTTATAGTAAATAAGCAAGCAAATTTAGCAAATTTACCTGTAAATCCTACAATCTAAAGGATAAATAATATAATATTTATAATTTATTTATTTTTAACAAAATGTTTTGATACATCATTTTGTTTATTTGAAAAACTTTTCGAATCTTTTTAGCAGAAATATATTGTTCTATTAGTTTTTCAATAGGGGTTACATTAGTGTTGACTAAGATTGCTAGACGAAATCAAGAGTTTAGACAGACGTCTAAATGGTAAAAGTAAAACTTAGTTAAATTATATTAAAACCTTATTAAAAAATCTGCGAAATTTGGAAAAAGGTAAAACTATATCAAAGCTTATAAAAATGGTGAAACTATATCAAACACTTAGTAAAAATTTAGCAAAACTAAAGGTTTAACCATTTTGCCAAATCCAAAATGAATTTAGACAAGCAACCTTAGCTCTGGCTGTTTTTTCAGTTAAAGGTAATAGCTGTAGTATATCAAATGTTACCTTTACTTATATCAAGTATTGCAATACCAATGTACTGCCTTTGACAACTAATACCATATTGAATTTGATGCCATTTCTATCACAACACCATACTCTGAATAAAAAAAAATATCCATTTTTTACTAAACCGTCCTCAGATAAAACCTAACACCCAAACAGATCGATCATTATCAGAATATCCATTAGCTTCATAATTTTTAGTATAAAATAATGCACCAATCATTTCATTATTATCTATATTTATTTTCTTTTTAAATTATTCATATGATTCAGTAATCCAAGGTAAATTTACTTTGGCGTGATCATATATCCAATTTGTGATAGAATCCCCATCTTCAACAAATACTTTTAATGCTTCTGAATTTAGATTTATAAACATAATTGCCAACAAATGAATCTAAAGGGTTTTTAAGTTGGCCATGAGCTACTATTTTTTCAGCATTAGCATGATTTATTTTACCTTGATTAACAAATTCCAAAATTTGATAAGACGAAACTTATAAATATTGAAACCTAATAAAACTATATAATTTACTTTATTGAGATTAGAGAAACTTAACTAAAAGTGTTTAATTATAAACAATCATAAACTTGAAACTAACTAAAGATTTAGACTATTTATCCACCACTTTAAAACAAGTGAAATGATGTCCTATTTACAAATACCGACATAAAATTTAAATTGTTTCTGTGAATCTCTACCAAAAAGTGTCGCAGTTTTCGCCTCGATGTAACGACCACTTGATATCTCCCATAAAATTACACCTGATGCTGTAAACATCACTCTTTCTACTAACTTTCTGGATCAATATAAGGGTCAAAAAATTTATCTTTGTCCCCAAGATTATCCATGATTATTTTGCGCTTCTATATTGTTATGCGCTTCAAAACATAGTAACCTCTAGAATGTTGAACTATTTTTTTTTAAAATAATCAACCTCATAATTTGCAGTGCCATCTTGGGGGTTCGCACTGTTTCTATTCCATCTTGAATGGTTCCAAGGCATTGAACGAATTATTGGCTTTTGATGGGTTTCCGCAGATGATAACCTAATTTTTTTACAAAGAAAAAAATATAATTTGTTAGGTATAAATCCTAGTGAAAGTTGGTTTTTTTTATTTTTACGAGTATATCAAAAGTAGAATAGTTCTTTCGCTTCATAAAAGCAAGTCAAGTTGATAATCCAACCAAAAAACAAGTACTCTTCTAGACTCAATATATAACATGAAATTAAATGAAAACTTACTTATTTTCCATCATCTTTAAAGTTATGGTATATTTATTCACTCAAAGAGTTAGACTTGCAAGCACAAAGTTAAGAATTGAAAGAGTTAAAAGTTAAAGTGAGTAAGAAAATGAGGTCTTTGTAGGTAAAAAGAAAGATAAAAAAAAAAATTCTGTGGAAATACCGTAATTTATAATTCTGAAAAAAAAGATTATCCGATCTGACTAATCATGAAATTATTGAAATTAGGAGTTACCTACCCACATTAAAATGAAAAATTAAAAATGTAAAGTCACGTATAAACGTCGAATCCGCTGATCAAGATAGGAAGACCTAACTAGAATAAATAATTCAGCAGTAGTGAAAAATAATAAAAAAAAATTTTTCAAGTTCTTTTAACGTTCATGAAAGAAATTTTCTTTATTCATAATTTTATTTAATAGAACCGAATTAGAAACATATTCGAAAACAATGAAAATTTTGTTGGATAAATATTTAAAAACATCGCAACGCAGGTTGAATTTTTCCTTAGAAAAAAAGGACGACGTCGGAGATGTTTCTTTGACGGTCTTTTTTTATGAGTGATCATAACCACCTAACGTTGGTATGTATTTTTTTCTCCATGTATAAACTTATATGCAGTATTTATTTATTTTATTAATATTCTGCACGGATTTCTTTTCATCTATTAGGTTACATGATATATCATTCAAGTTTAGAGAAATGCCATGTTGCAAAGTTACATTCAATTTGAATTTATGTTCCATTCATAGAATACTATTTTTTGTAACCACTATAATAAAATATGAATAATGATGAAATTTTTATTCCAATCATTACTAATTTGGTTGAGTAGAAATATGCTATGTAATTAAACTCATGTTTTCTTTGATGATATTTTTGTCTATAATTAACTAGAAATCGAATTCTCGGTTTTTTTAACACTATCGTCATGATGTCATTCGCGTATTAAACCAAAATTCACACGTTAGTAATTTTGACCCGATTTCTGTTGGCCAAAATTAAAACACAATTAATCTTCCAGATAATTTCTGAATGCTTGTTGTTAATTTTAAATTACCTTCCTTCACAAGACATTATATAATGTTCAGTAAAATTACAAGTGCTGGCAATTGACATCCCGCATGACTGGAAAATATTGAAGGGTAGTGGAATAAATGCTTTAATTTCAGAACTTTATTATTAAGCTTAAATAAGTGGTGGAAAAAGATTCTTATTGAATATTCGATTATTATAACGAAGAAATTGGTTTTGCTTTATTGCATTAGAGTACTACTTCTCAAGAATTTTAGATATTATTTCTATTGTTCGATCCCAATTTCTGGAATTTCTATGAAGACTAAACATGTCTATATAAGGTATACTCTAAATAGATGTTATATTGGAGTCTTTTATCAACTTATTATTCTTATGACTAACATAATATCTTGGAATTCTTGTCATAACAGAAAATTAACAATAAAAAAAAATACTTCTTTGATAGCAACCAATGGAAACAACAGAATTCTCTACAACAAACAGCATTTATTATTGCAACCAAATGGCCCCCATTATTAGATGTTGTATCAGCTTTTCAGAACCGTAATTATTGGTCTGGTTATTACATGGTGCTATGGAAAAATTCTATTGATGCAGAATTTGAAAATTAAATTCAAATGTAATTTTCAAGTGACAATCAGAAATGATGGTGGGTTAATTTTTTATCGCGCTGAAAAGGTTGCTGAGATTATATATTGCTAATTCTGTATCAAAGCTATAACACTGGACATTTAAATACTTAAAATTTGCGCTGAAATTTGGATTTGGTGATACTTCATAAAAGAGTTCCGGTAGTGTGTTTTAACGTCATTTGGTCGGTATTTTTGCTTGGTACTTCATACGAGAGACATAGGTACTTAGCGAGGAACATCCTGGTTTGTGCGCATATTTTTTTTATTATTACTATTATTTACAAAGTGTATTTTAATATTGATCATTTGTAAATATATGGATAGATCTAATGTTGCGTACCTTTAAGGATACTTCTATCATGTTCTTCATGAATCATTATCAAAATGGCTTTTGCATAAGGATGAACTCTCAAAATAGTGTAGATTTTTGTGTCAGAACCTCAACATTTCTCCCTTGTCGAACTCTTACGACTCTGACAATTATTTGTTAAACCAGCTCAATGATTAATTAGGTCAGATGCATAAGCTGATATTGGAAATTCTGGCA